GAACTTGAAGTTTTGGTTGGCACTCATCTTGCAGAATAGCCCTGAAAGGATTTTCATACATAGGAGAAACAAATATAGAGAAAGTGGATCCCCTGGAAAGTGGATCCCCTTGTCGAAGCCCTCTCCCCCCTTGAAAATAACCTGCAAGCTCACCATTGACGTTGATAGAGAATTGACATGATGTAACACAAACCATAATCCAATCAATGACTGTTCTAGGGAATCCCATTTTTCTTAACATAGCGTCAACGAAATCCCACCGAACCGAGTCATAAGCCTTCATCAGATCTACTTTCATAGCACAACGGGCAGGTCCCGTAGATTTATGATAGCCTTTCATTAGTTCCTGAGACAAAAGAATGTTGTCGCTGATTCTCCGTCCAGAGATAAAAGCAGTCTGATACGGACCTACTAAGGATGGCAAAACAGCTGTGATTCTCCCAGCTAGAATCTTAGCGATGCATTTGTACACGGTATTGCAGCAAGATATAGGACGAAAATCTGTCAACCTCGTAGGATTGGCAACTTTAGGAATAAGGGAAATTGATGTAGCATTCATTTCTTTAAGCATTCTCCGAGTCTGAAAGAAGGAGCTAACAGCATTGATTACATCCTCCCCAACTATGTGCCACATTCTTTTGAAGAAACCTGCGTTAAATCCATCCGGACCAGGGGCTTTGTTGTTCTTCAAACTAAACATAGCATGCTTAATCTCCTCCCTTGTTACATCTTGTGCTAATACATTTCTCTTGTTCTGAAAGAACATGGATTTAATATTAAAGGTTTTTTATTTTATTTTGTTAGCTACAACCCAAGGCTTGTTTGGGCTTAATTAATACCTTATTTTCAATTAGATCCAAGGCTTGTCTAGATTAAGTTATGGGCTTTTCAGTTTAGGATTTTGGGTCAGTTTTGAGTGGACCTCATTTAAGTCCATAAAAGAAATCCATTAGGGTTAATTTTTTAAGAACTATTTAAACTCATATAAGCTAACATTTCGGAAGCTTTGATAATAATTACTTCTGAATTTTCCAGTTTTAATGTGTTAGAGTAATTCTTGCATTCTTTAGTTCTTGAACGAACTGAATCTGACCTATGTAAGATTAACCGGCTTTGTGGCGTCATTATACTCAATCCAATAGTGTTTGTGTCATGGGGTAGGCTTTCATTGTGTCACACACCTATCAAACCTACTTCAGTTTTCTGGGATTAGATCTCAATCTTAATTGTGGGTTACGTGACCATGTAATCATGTGGTTCGCATCAGTAGTTTTCTTTTACTTTGTTTTCAATATATTTATTAATTCTTGAGTCTGAAAATTATAATTTGATTGTGTTGAGAAGTCTACTGACTTTGATTTATTGATTTCAGTTCCTAAAAAAAAAAAAAAACAAGCTATGTGGTAAAAGGCGTAGTGAGCTTATTAGAGTGAAAAGCCTTGAATGGGGTGAAAAACCATAAGTGTGAAGATTTATTTTTGTGCTACTAACCAAATTTCATAGACTCAAAGAATGTATGAAAACAATGAATCAATAACAAAAAACACTGAGTTGATGTGAACCTTTAGAACACGCGGTCAAACAACCCACATGCAAAGATACCAATTCGTAGAAAGCCAAGTAAATCCAATTTGGCAAGAGTACAACACATGGATGACTTGTATTTAGGCACCAACACTATTGGAAACAGAAATCCCCACCCAACAAATATTAATTCACAAATAAGAAGTATAAGGATGACACCACGAAGTCAATCGTTCTTCGATAAGCTACTTTACAATTCTTTAGAAAACCAAGAAGGGGAGAGTATCTGATGTGAACTTCATGATCACGTGGTCATGCAACCCACACAAAGACACTAATTCCAAGAAAGCCAAGTATATTAGATTTGATAGGAGTTTGATACAAAGATAACTTATATCTAGGCATTCTAGACTGAAAATGAAAGTTAATGATAGTAAGGAAAGTAAGAAGACACTAGAGACTGAAAATGAAAGTTCATTATAGTAAAGAAAATAAAAAGGCACTGCAGACTGAAAACTAACCCAAAATTATATGGATTTCAATTTATGAATATAACACACCCCTTTAGACCTAAAAAGGACCCTAAACCAAACAACTTCCAAATGGTCTAAATTTGATATTTAAAGTGAATTCAGGCCAAAAAAACCAGAATCTCAAGTTTGATTTAATTTTGAATTGATTTGATATATGAATGGGAAACTGATGCAAATAAGCCCTTTTAAAACTTGAATTTCAAACCTAAACCAAACGATGTCCAAATGAGTTAAAAATTAATATTTTATGAGATTTCATCCTTAATAACCTGAATATCAATTTTAACACAATTACAATATGAAAATTTAACCCAAGGTAGAATAACATGTCAGGAGACCCCACATAAAATTTCAGCCCGATCCAACAGTTGGATTGAGAATTATAACTATCATCGAAAAACTAGACAGGTGTGCATCTTATATTAGAATCCGAATTTGATTGTCTTTTCATTGCCCTGATTGTATCAATATCTGATGTAAACCTCGTGATCACATGGTCACGCAAAGACAACAATTCCTAGAAAGCCAAGTAAATCAGGTTTGATAGGAGTTGGACATAAAGATAACTTATACCTATAGCAAAGAATCCTAAGAAAATAGGAAGTCCACAAGTCAAAAGGAAGTAAACAACAAAATTTGTATAGCCTCTGTTGACTTGTATTGAGATGCCTTTCTGAACTCCGATTGACTTGAAATTTTAACCCAAGGTAGGACAATATGTCAGGATACTTCACATAAAATTTCAGCTTGATCTAATAATCAGATTGAAAATTATAACTATTATAGTAAAACTAGATCGTTGCACATTTTATGTCAAAATCTGAATTTGACCTTACCTAAATCGTATAAGTATCTCCTCAATACACACACAAAGTATAGCAAACAAGAATTTTTATTAATCTAAATTGGTTACCTTACATGTCTGGTTACACCTTTATTTATGCTAACTCTAGATTGAAACAAATCCTAAAGGAACCCTTATGTGTTATATGATTCCCATTTACAATTAAATCCAAATGATATAAATAAATCTTAAATTAAGAAGAAAATAAAAATAAAAATAATAAATTTGAATTTAACACTTTAAATATGATAGGATCAGATTTGCCATCTTTTAGAAGTTCCCTGTAAGTTAGGAGAATCAAATATGATGTTGCCTCCTTTTTGGGTTACAATGGAAGCTCAGTTGAGTTCTTTTGGACAAGAACCTGATTGGCCAATGAAGGACACGTGGCATGGTGCCCAAGGATTCAATTCTCGTCGAGAGAGACAGGGATTTATTAAAAATAAAAAATAAATCTAATCACGTTAACTCGAACACATTTACCTCAAGCATAATAAGCATAATAGCTTAAACTCATGTAAATGATGAGGTTCTTGTCCATATGAGTGATGCAGCACGCCCAACAAACTGGTGTCCGCCTATTAGAGTCCTAGGCTACCATGCCCATGCATCTTGGTAGCAGATGGGCTTGGTGTGGTACCCAAGCCCTTGGTAATGGTTTTTTTTAAGGTTTTTTTTTTTTCAATTTATTAAATTTGATTTTATCACCTAGTTTTCTGCATTTCCAGTAAATGGAGAGGGTAGCTGCAGCGCTCCGTGTGCATGGATACTACACTCATTGATGAGCATGAGGACCTCATCATGCTAAAGTTTTGTGAAAGAGACTGGACTTATGTCCCCCTGTACAATAGTTACAAGATGTACCATGTTTGCAGGTTGTAAGGAACAAATTTCTGTTTTTACCATTTACATGAAGGAAGTTGCCCTTGCTAAGGAGGGGAAAAAATAAAGAAGAAAGAAAAAAAAGAAAGGAAGAACATAAATGAACAGAGTATCGGCAAGATCAAGATCACATGACGGCAATTTTGGGGGTTAGCAATCCCATATATTCGAAACTGCAGCATCAATTATAATTCTCAGTTCTTTCCCGAGCTGATATGCCAATATTCTCCTATCAATTCAAATCAGATATCTAATCAAGTTTGGAGTCATATCCCAATATGCTGATGCAGGGTTCGTAGTTTTATAGGTTAGGCCAGACTCCAACAGAATGATTCCCCCCACATCCGTAATCACAATATAAGAACATAATCTGCTTGAAATCTGTGGAATTCCACGATCACACACCTCTCAATTATGAGAGTGAGCATATAGTAATGTTTAATTTTTTTAACAAATACTGGATTCCCTTCTATTCTCATTTTCTTCTCTCCTTCCTGAATTAACAGGGTAATCACAGGCTCCATTGTCAGATGTCAAGGGATTTACTGAACTCCACTGCTACATGGACATAACCATGACCGTAATGATGACAGGTGCTGAAATACCTTGGTTTGGGTACTTGTCACAGGCTCACATAACCCATAAATCAAATCCAATGATCTCGTCTTCTTGTTTGACTGGTACTGGATCATCACATGTCAATTCACTCAAAGGTCATAAAGATTGTTTCCAGCAGATGCTTTCCGCCAGATACCTCTCCTTCCACACACGAGTTAGTTTTGGTATGTCTGTAGGGCCTTTCTAGTTTCTAGAAACTTCATGATCAAGTTGACAGCCTACTAAAACAGAGCCACATCACATGCATCTCCACCAAAATATTCTCATTCCGAGAACCCAATCAGCCTTCTTCCTTCTCCTTTCTTATTAACAATCATTGCCATATATGCAAATCTCATCATTCCTTGCTTCCACTCCCCACCATTATACCATTACCAATACTATACCCCATCTTGTCAATCACTATGAACTTTGCTTACGGAGATTGAGGAAGTGGCGTAAAAATTCCTTCATCAGTTTACATTGAATAGGAGCAACAAAAGAGACTTTAAGGTATCACTTCATTCATCTAGCTTTGCAGCCATGAAAGCTTCGAGTTAGCTTAAGCAAGTGTTCAAACTCATTGACACTAATGGTGATGGAAAAATATCCTGTTCGAGCTAAGTGCATTACTGGTCTCTTTGGGGCACAAGAAATGTGCCGCCAAGAAAGAAGCTGAGAAAATTATTAGATGGTTGGGTTCAAATGGGGATGGATACATTGACTTGGATGATATTTTGAATGTTATAACTAACTGTGGCAGCGAGAAAGATGATCTTATGGATGCTTTTCTTATATTTGACATCGATGAGAATGGATTTATATCAGCTAAGAAGCTGAACCAGGTACTGACTGGCCTAGGTTCCAAGCAATGTGATCCTGAGGAATGTTTTCTGATGATGAAAGGAGTCGACAAGGATGGAAATGGGCTTGTAGATTAACGGGAATTCAAATCAATGATGGCTGGGGTGAAAAAAACCCGACCAACCAATTAAATCGAAAAAATTAAAAAGAAATTAATTGAAAAAACCAAATCAATAGAAAAAATCAAATAAACCAATTAAAAAATAAAAAATCACTTGGTTAGGTTTGATTCTAGTTTAAAAAAGTTTAAATTAATTAACGGGACTAAACCATACTAATTTAAATAATTTTAAAAAAGATATAAAAAAAAACATCTCTAATCCTGAATCATTTTAACCCTTTTCTCCCCCTCTTCCTAGCCTTCCTAGCTCATGCAGAAAGTTCGGGTTAGAATAAAACAAAGAAGAAGATCTAGGAAGCTAGTGAAAAATGATCTGTGCCAAACAATTAAGTCCAGAGAGCTAAAACTAATACTAAATCTAAGCTGCAAACGCTTTTCGAGGGTCGATCACGGAAAGAAACTTGCTTCCCCATCCCTCCCTCTCCCCTGTGCTCTTCTTTCTCATTTTCTCTCATATGTTAACATTAAATCTTAGTGTTAAGTTTTGAGTCTTTGACACCACATCTTGACTACCCACACTTGCAGGACTTTGTAAAGAAAATTAAGGGAGAAGCTTTAGGTCCATGGCTATTCAAGGAAGGAATAATTCTCTTTAACGGCCGAGTTTATCTCTTGCCCACATTTGACTTTATTATTTTTATTATCAAGGAATCTCATCTCAACACTCACAAAGGCCACCACAAATCTTCATTGGTTCCTAGTTTTCCTGGTTTTTATGTTAAAAAATTGACTTGAACCGAACAAAATTGATTCGGTTTGAACTGATTCTCGATTTGATTCAGGTTATATTAGTTTGGTTGAATTTTAATGTTAAAATCGAACAAAACCGGATGATGAAAACCCCTAATGATGGCAATAACATGACCAGGTTTAAAACATCAAATTTTAGGGAACAATAAGAGAGGTAGTTTGTGCTGTGCTGTGCTGTTATCTGATCAAATTTTTTAATATAAAAAAAAATATTTAGGTAATACTAATATTAAAAAAAAAAGAAAAATATGAGATTCAGGTTATTAACTTGATTAGGTTCAATATGTTCAGTTAATTTAACAATATAATTGAAAAAGAAATCAATATTAAATAAAGTAAACATTTTTTTTGGAAATAATTAACTATAAAAAATAGCCTACCAATATCATACTTGGAAGGAAAATAAAAAAAATAATTAGAGGATAAAATTAAAAAAAACTTATAATTTTACAAATTATATCAAATAAAAAATATTAATCAAAAGAATAAAGATCAAATTGAAAAAGAAAAATATTAAAGAGCTGCCTATAAGATTTGGAGGGTCAAGTGCTAAAATCAAGGAGGATAGAGAAAAAAAGGTCCTTACCACCAAACTAGATACTAGTAATCCACACACCATCTAAGGAGGGAGAGGATGTTAAGACGATCCCAATGCTGTTGTAGAAGGCAACATTTATACACTACTGCAAAATGCCTTATGTACTATTCAAAGCGGAGAAATCTTTTTATATGTTAGTATGTTTGTTATTTAAGCTAGTCAAATTTAATTTTTAATAATATTTTATAATTATTAAACTACTAAACTGGCCATCAATCAACTTCATTATGACTAAAAAATCAAGATAAAAATACAAAAAAAACTATAAATATCAGTTTAATTGTTTTTCCTTCAAGAATAAGTTAGTTATATTATGACGCTTAAAAAGGTTGAAAGTAAAAAAGTACTTTAGAGCCAATTATATAAACTTTTCATTTAAGGGTAATTTAACAATTCTAATTCATTTAATAATAACTAATGTAACTTAAAAAAAAAAATTACCTCCAATACCCCAATAACAAGAAGTTAGTAAAAACATCATTACATGCTAATAATTCATAAGGTTTTGAGTTTGTGTATACAATGAAATATTAACTAAGATAAGGTTGGAGCATAATTTATAGTTTGATTCTCGAGGACAAAATTCAAGGGTCCATGGCTTGGAGATTATGCATTTTGACACAGGATATTAATGTTTTCAAATTTTAACTGTGGTATTTTCTTCGAGTCAAAATATCTTAAAGTATCTTTAGTAGTATTAGTTTCTAGCTATGTAAGGGTGCTTGTTTGTTCTAATAATCCAATTGATAGGGTGTATTTAATATTGTAGTAGCTCTTATGGTTTGAAAAAAACTATTTTATAAAAAGTACTTTTAGTTGAGGTTGGTTTAGAAAAATATATGTTTGGTTAAAACTATGGTTGAAATTGAGGTTGAACAAAAAATAGTTTAATGTGTTTGGTTACGAATGCTTTTGAAATTAAGGTTATAAAATAATTTTTAAAAATATATATTATATTTATATTTTTTTTAATTTAAATATTGTAGATTTAACTACTGTTATTTTATCGTGAAATAAATCATATTTTATATAAAAAAATTTATTATTCCATTAAACTATTTACAATTCTATTACATACAAAATTCATCCAACAAGTAAAGTTTTCATAATTTTTTGGACATACAATAAAATTAGATAAAATATTATCAGGAATAAAATTGAAATTACAGTACGAATAAATTTAATTTACCTTCAACTAATTTTTTTAAATAAAAATTACTATTTAGATTTACATGAAACATTGTTAAGTGAGCAGTGCACCTATTGAGGGATGCTGCACTGTTCAATGAACAATGCAGCATGATGCAGCCCCATGAAGCAGGTAGCACATGCTTTCGTTTTCCAGCGTTTCAAACGCATAACTTGGTGGGACCCATGAATAGCAATTTATGCTTTTTTTTTTGTTACCAAACGTTATTGCATCTGCCTTTTAAACAAAACGCAGATGCAACAACATAGACAAACACGCTTTTAGTGAACTATAAACAAACCACCTCATAAGGAATTGAAAATTCACATTCAGTTTATTAAGGGTGAGATCGCATCATATGTCAAGTTTGGGCTTATTCTGATATAGTTGGTTGACGTTTTAATTTAAGGATCAATTTTGCCGTAGAAAAACACCTCTTTGTTAACTATAAGAAAATCACCTCAAAATCAATTGCAACTTCATATTTTGCCCAACAGAAAAAAAAAAAAGGATCCAACGAGCTTGGAGGGTCAATAACATAGATTCTTCATTTGATATTTAGCTGGTTGTATTGGTTTCCCTAACTAATCAAGTTAGGTCTTGAGTTTTCTGTTCGGTGGCTAGCCTGTAGCCATTTGTTGTTTTACATTTCTGTTCTCATTGTAAATCTAGGGTATGCCCCTTATAATCTTTGTATCGTTTTCCTTTAATATATACGTCAACTTACCAAAAAAAAAACTTCATATTTTGTCTACTGGGGTTGAGACAGAAAGATTTGTATAATATGGGCTTATTTTGATATCATTTACTTGAGGTTTTAATTCGAGGTTCAATTCTGCCACAAAAACACTACACTAAGTGAATCATAAGAAAACCTCCTTATAATCAATCAAAACTTCATATTCTATTTATTCATGGTGAGATAGCACCATATATTAAATCTGAGCTTATTTTGATATCATTTTCTTGAGGTTTTAATTGGAGGTACAATTCTGCAGCAAATTGATCATACAAGGGGTTTCGTATGTACATATAATATATCAACCTATAAACTCAAGTTTTTTTTTTTAATTGATATCTGAATACTATATATTAAATTCGAGGTCATTTGGATAGCATTTTCTTTAGTTTCTAGAATCTAGTTTTGTCTAACGGGTCTGTTATACGTTATCTTTCTAAATTTGTTTTGTTTATGTTGATTTTATTCCTTCCAGTATAAATAAAGGCATAAGAAATTTATGACAATGTTTGATATACTGACGCAAAAAGTTATGAATCAGACCTGATTACACTCGAATTTGAAACCCAAAGAAAACGATATCCAATTGGCCCCAAATTTCATATGTTTTGTGATTAGGACCCCAATAATTAGAGTGTCAAATTTCAGCTAATTCTGAGTTAATCCCATTGTCTCTTGTTTAGTTTTTTTGCGGAAGAATCCAATAAACGTCTTCTTGAATTTTTTTTTCCTTTTCCCTTTTTTTTTTGTTTTTGATGCTACTGATATATTTTGAACAATAACAAAATGAAATAACCATTTTTTTTCTTTTTATATGCCGCAAATTCAAGGAGAAGAAGAAATTGGATACTAAGGAATTTTTTTTCGGAATTAACAATAAACAAAAATTTCATAAAGATATAACCTAATTAATGGGGCCAAGCTCTGATACCAAATGATGCGAACCTTGTGATCACATGGTCTTGCAACCCATATACAAAGACACCAATTCCCGGAAAGCCAAGTAAATCAGGTTTGATAGGAGTGTGACACAAAGATAACTTCTACCTAGGCACTAGCACTATTGAAAACGGAAAAAAAGCCTCAACTGAACGAATATTGATTCGTGAACGAGAAGTATAAAGATGACGCCACGAAGACAGTTGTTCTTCGATAAGTTGTTTTTCAATTCTTTAGAGAGCCATGGAAGAGAGATTATCTCACTAACACACACACAAAGTGCCGCAACACAAGAGGTTTTATTAATCTGAATTGTCTTTTTACATGTTTGGTTATGCCTCTATTTATAGTGACTCTAGACTTAAAAGAAACTCTAATGGACCCCCCTTGTGATGCGGATCAGCCTAACCTTGACATTGCTTGTTATCATTCTTTAATCCTTACGTTAATTTTCCATCTAAAAGTTCTCATCGTCATCATCATCATCATCATCTTCTTCTTCTTCTCTTTCTTTATTATTATAATTATTATTATTATTACTATTACTATTATTATTATTATTATTATTAGTACTACTAATACTATTACTATTACTATTACTATTACTACTACTACTACTACTACTACTCCCTGTGGTTCGACCCCGGTCTTACCGGGTTATTTATTACTTCGACACTCCTGCACTTGGGAGAAGATATCAATATTTTAGTCATGTTACATATCAATGACCCATTAGAGGCG